GGGAGCCCCCTCAGCTTCACTGGGACCAGAACTCCTCAGTGGAACACACAGCTCCTCCCAGGGACTGTCCTGTTCCCATCCCGTGTCATCCAAGGGAACGGGGACAGGGTGTGACACACGGAGCTCCCATCCCAGGGGTGATGGAGCCTCCGTGCCCAGACCAAGCCTTCCAGGAGGGGTTTTGTGCCTCAAACTCTTCCCTGTGAGGGTGGGAAGGCCCTGCCTGTGGCTGCCACATCCCTGGAAGTGTCCAAGGCCAGGTTGGACAGGATAACCTGGGATAATCCTGGGAAAATATCCCTGCCCGTGGCAGGATGCACCTCCTGATTTTGACTGAAAACTCCAAACCCCAGCGAGTGCAAATTCCATAAGCTGCGAATCCCTCCCAGCCTGGGCGTGACCCCATCCCCATGGATTTATCCAGCCAAAACCGAGAGCAGGCAGCCAACAGAGCGGGGCACCCACTGCGAATAACCCAGGGCAATGGAAACTCGGGCAGAGCAGCGTGGCCAGACCCCCGGAGAGCTCCAGCTCCTCATTCCCAATGAACCCGGGGCTCGGAGCGATGGATCCGCACGGAATGCCCTGAGCGNATTCCAGGATCAAAACTGATCCCAGAAAAGCTGGGAATGCTCTCCCTGTGATCCCAGAGGGGCTGGGAATGCTCTCTGTGTGATCCCAGGATCAAAATAATCCCAAGAAATCTGGGAATGCTTTCCCTGAGAATCCCAGAAGAGCTGGGAACGCTCTCTGTGTGATCCCAGAATCAAAATAATCCCAAGAAATCTGGGAATGCTCTCCCTGTGATCCCAGAGGGGCTGGGAATGCTCTTCCTGCATCCCAGGATCAAAATAATCCCAAAAAATTTGGGAATGCTTTCCCTGTGATCCTAGAAGAGCTGGGAATGCTATTCCTGCAATCCCAGGATCAAAACTGATCCCAGAAGAGCTGGGAATGCTTTCCCCATGATCCCAAGATCACCATTGCTCCCATAGTAGCTGGGAATGCTCTCTGTGTGATCCCAGGATCAAAATAATCCCAAAAAAAGCTGGGAATGCTCTCCCTGTGAATCCCAGAAAAGCTGGGAATGCTCTTCCTGCAATCCCAGGATCAGAACTGATCCCAAAAAAATCTGGGAATGCTCTCTCTGCATTCCAACATCACCACTGATCCCAGAAAGGATGGGAATACTTTCTCTGTGATCCCAGGATCAAAACTGATCCCAGAAAAGCTGGGAATGCTCTCCCTGCGATCCCAGGATCAAAACTGATCCCAAAACAGCCTGGAATGTTCTCCCAGTGATTACCAGGATCCCACTGACCCCAGAAAATCTGGGAATACTTTCCCTGTGATCCCAGGATCACCATGGATTCCAGAACAGTTGGGAATGCTCTCCCTGTGATCCCAGGATCCCAAAAGTGCTGGGAATGCTCTCTCTGCATTCCAGGATCAAAATTGATCCCAGAAAATCTGGGAATGCTCTCCCTGCATTCCAAGATCACCATTGCTCCCATAACAGCTGGGAATGCTCTCTGTGTGATCCCAGGATCAAAATAATCCCAATAAAAGCTGGGAATGCTCTCCCTGTGAATCCCAGAGGGGCTGGGAATGCTCTGCCTGCATCCCAGGATCAGAACTGATCCCAGAGGGGCTGGGAATGCTCTCTCTGCACCCCAGGATCAAAACTGATCCCAAAAAATCTGGGAATGCTCTCCCTGTGATCCCAAAGGAGCTGGGAATGCTCTGCCTGCAATCCCAGGATCAAAACTGATCCATGAAAAGCTGGGAATGCTTTCCCCATGATCCCAAGATCACCATTGCTCCCATAGCAGCTGGGAATGCTCTCTGTGTGATCCCNTGACGAAGCTCTTTGGGATTTTGCTGGTTTGCTAACTGGGCCTCTCCCCGTGTCCTGCCCCAGATCGATTCCTTCGAGCTGCTCTACTACTACGACGAGTACCTGGGGCACTCCATGTGGTGAGTGGTGCCCTCAGGGTGTGGGGTGGCACAGGGGCAAGGGCTTAAAGGGGAAAATAAAATAACCCTGAGGCAGAGCTGGCTGGGATAACGGCCTGCTGGCCAGGGCTGGATTAGGAGCAGGATCCAGATTAGGGGGGATCGCTGGAAAATCCCCTCTGCTCAGGGATATTTTGGGAGTGGAGGGACAGGGGAACAGCTTGTGCTGCCAGGGGGGACGGGGGGTTCCTCCTGCTGCGCCCCCAGGTGTGCCCCCAACACCCCAAATACCCCAAACACCCCAAAAAACTCCAAATACCCCAAATATCCCAAAAACTCCAAATATCCCAAATATCCCAACACCCCAAATACCCCAAACACCCCAAACACCTCAAATACCCCAAACACTCCAAATATCCCAAATACCCCAAACACCCCAAACACCTCAAATACCCCAAACACTCCAAATACCATAAACAACCCAAATATCCCAAATACCCCAAACACTGCAAATACCCCAAACACCCCAAACACTCCAAATATCCCAAATATCCCAAACATCCCCAACACTCCAAATATCCCAAATACCCCAAACACCCCAAACATTCCAAATATCCCAAATACCCCAAACACCCCAAACACCCTAAACACCATAAACACCCCAAATACCCCAAACACTCCAAATATCCCAAACACCCCAAATATCCCAAACACCCCAAATACCCCAAATACCATAAACACCCCAAAAACTCCAAATATCCCAAATACCATAAACACCCCAAATACCCCAAACACTCCAAAAATCCCAAACACTCCAAATATCCCAAATACCCCAAAATCCCAAATACCATAAACACCCCAGATATCCCAAACTCCCCAAATACCCCAAAAACTCCAAATATCCCAAATACCCCAAACACCCCAAATATCCCAAATACCCCAAACACCCCAAATACCCCAAACACCCCAAACACCACAGATATCCCAAACACCCCAAATACCATAAACACCCCAAATACCCCAAACACTCCAAATATCCCAAATATCCCAAACACTCCAAATATCCCAAATACCCCAAAAACTCCAAATACCCCAAACACCCCAAATACCCAAAAAACTCCAAATACCCCAAACACCCCAAACACCTCAAATAGCCCAAAAACTCCAAATATCCCAAATACCATAAACACCCCAAATACCCCAAACACTCCAAATATCCCAAACACCCCAAAAACTCCAAATATCCCAAATACCCCAAAAACTCCAAATACCCCAAACACCCCAAACACCTCAAAAACTCCAAATACCCCAAACACCCCAAATACCCCAAAAACTCCAANCTGAATTTATAAATTATAAAGGCTGAGCTGGGTTCAAGCATTTCTAAAATCTGACTTTGTAAATTACAAAGGAAGCTCAAACCTTAGACCCTGGTGAGGGGCTCAGCTGGGCTCTGAAATCTGAATTTATAAATGATAAAGGAACATCAAACCTGAGACCTTGGCGAGAGGCTGAGCTGGGTTCTAAAATCTGAATTTATAAATGATAAAGGAACCTCCAGACAGAGATTTCGGTAAGGGGCTGAGCTGGGTTTTAAAAATCTGAATTTATAAATTATAAAGGAACCTCAAACCTGAGACTCTGGTAAGGGGCTGAGCTGGGCTCAAGCATTTCTAAATCCTGAATTTATTAGTGACTCTGGTAAGAGACTGAGCTGGGTTCTAAAATCTGAGTTTATAAATGATAAAGGAACCTCAAACCTGAGACTCTGGTAAGGGGCTGAGCTGGGCTCAAGCATTTCTAAAATCTGAATTTATGAATGACCTCGATAAGGGGCTGAGCTGGGCTCAAGCATTTCTAAAATCTGAATTTATGAATGACCTGGGTGAGGAGCTGAGCTGGGCTCAAGCATTTCTAAAATCTGAATTTATGACTGACCTGGGTAAGGGGCTGAGCTGGGCTCAAGCATTAATAAAATCTGAATTTATGACTGACCTGGGTAAGTGGCTGAGCTGGGCTCAAGCATTAATAAAATCTGAATTTATGAATGACCTTGATAAGGGGCTGAGCTGGGCTCAGGCATTTCTAAAATCAGAATTTATGAATGACCTGGGTGAGGAGCTGAGCTGGGCTCAAGCATTTCTAAAATCAGAATTTATGACTGACCTCGATAAGGGGCTGAGCTGGGCATTTCTGAAACCTGAATTTATTACTGACCTGGGTGAGGGGCTGAGCTGGGCTCAAGCATTTCTAAAATCAGAATTTATGACTGACCTGGGTAAGGGGCTGAGCTGGGCTCAATCATTAATAAAATCTGAATTTATGAATGACCTGGGTGAGGGGCCAAGCTGGGCTCAAGCATTTCTAAATCCTGAATTTATTAGTGACTCTGGTAAGAGACTGAGCTGGGTTCTAAAGTCTGAATTTATAAATGATAAAGGAACATCAAACGTGAGACTCTGGTAAGGGGCTGAGTTTCTAAAATCTGAATTTATGAATGACCTGGGTAAGGAGCTGAGCTGGGCTCAAGCATTAATAAAATCTGAANCGGAGCATCCCCAGGGTCGGGATCCGGGACATCCCCAGGGTTGGAGTCCAGGAGATCCCCAGGGTCGGGATCCGGGACATCCCCAGGCTCAGGGTCTGGGATATCCCCAGGGTCGGGGTCCCCCACTCAGCTTTGTCCATAGCATCCCGGCGTACCTGGGTTATCCCAGCCGATCCAGGGTTTGGCAGGCTCTTCCAGGGAGCCACAGCTCATCCAGGATACCCCATCCTCACCCTCCAGCTCTCGGGGTTTATTGAAGCATCCCACAATGGTTTTGGGGTGGAAAGGACCTTAAAGATCCTGTGGGTCCAGGGCAGGAGCACTTCCATGGATTTTGGACCGCGGGCAGCCCAAGCTCGGGGCTGCTCCAGCTGATCCCGTTCTGGTCTGGGCACCAGGAGAGGCATTGATCCGCTTTTCCTGCAGGGAGCTGAAGGTGCAGAGGTGCTGGGGGGGCATTTTGTGGAAAGGCTCCATCGGGGCTGATGCTCGGGGTTGGATCCTCGGCAGAGGGGGCTGGAGCAGGAGCTGAAGGTGACGCTGCATCCCGAGCATCCCATCCCGGTGCTGGAATCCCGCCGCATTTTCAGCCCTCAGCTCAACTCCTGCGAGTTGGGATTTCGCTTCATCATGCAAAAGTTAAAAATAGTTGCACTTAATTCAGCACTTTTCACCTTGCTGAAGAGGCCCGGAGGAGCCTCCCCACAGGGTCGGGTCAGCGATGGTGACAGCCTGGCGCTCTCCTGCCCTGCCCGCTCGCCAGCTTTGTCATCGCGCAGCTCCCAGAGCCGGGGGAGCGCAGCCCTGGCGTGGGGCGGCAGCTCTGCCTCCTGCCAGCGCTGCTCCAGGGCTCCGTGTCCCTCTGTCCCCTCCAGGCACGGCGCGGGCAAGGCCGAGGACACCTTCAAGACGCCCCCGTTCCACCTGGACCTGTGGTTCTACTTCACCCTGCAGAACTGGGTGCTGGATTTCGGGCGCCCCATCGCCATGGTGAGTGAGGGGACACGGCCAGGGCCAAGCCAGCTCCAGCCTCTGTTCCCTGTTCTCTCTCCCACACCTTTGTTTCACACCTGGGAGTTTCCTCCTGCCATTCCCCATTCCTTGCCTGCATCCCAGAGCTTGGGGCTGCAGCTCCCGGGAGTGGCCATTCCATTTCAATGGGATTTTTTCAAGCTGGAAGCTGGCAGAAGGTTCAGGAAGATCCAGGAATCCCAAATTCTTTCCTTGTCCCCACAGCTTGCCAGCACCAGGCAGGGATGGGAGTGGAAACTTCCAGAGGGTGATTTTTGGGAAGTTTGCTCCAAGATGAGCTGCCCAGTGTGGTCTCTGCCACCCCTCTGAAGCCCAGCTGAGCATTCCCAAGCAATCCCAACGTTTTCCCTCTCCCATGATCACGAATGTGCTGCTCTTCCCTCTCTCCTCAGATCATCCTCCCTCTGGAATGGTTCCCTCTGAACAAACCCAGCGCTGGAGATTATTTCCACATGGCTTACAACGTTATCACCCCCTTCCTGCTGCTGAAGGTAAGCCTGGCAATGTCCAGGCATTCCCCATTCCCAATTTTGTAAAGTTTCAGAGGTTTTGAGGGTGTTGGTTATTCCCAAATTGCTGCCAGTAAGGAAGAGTTAAGTGGATTTGTGATGCCTCCTCAATTTCCTGCATGTCCAGAGCAAATCCCCCTGGAATTCTGGCTCCAGGAGGAGTCAGAGCTGAAGGTAAACCTGGGAATGTTCAGGGGTTTTCCATTCCAGGTTTTGCAAAGGCTCAGAGGATTTTAGGATGTTGGTTATTCCCAAATTCCTTCCAGCAAGGAGGAATTTTCCACTCCAGGAGGGATTTGTGGTGCCACCTTTTAATTTCCTGCATCTCCAAAGCAAATCACTTCCCCTGGAATTCTGGCCTCAGGAGGGGTCAGAGCTGTTCCCAAATGATATTTTTAGGACAATATCCACCCCTGGATTAAAAGGCAGCTGGAAGCAGAATGGATTTTCTGAATTGTTCAGAGCTTAATTCCACTTGATCTTTGACATTGGAATTGTGGCCGGAGCTGGAATTTATCTGGCTCCAGCTGCCAACCTCTGGATCCCATGAACCATTCCCGAGGTGAAACCCTCTCAGACCATTAGGAATCTTTTCCCATTAAACACTTGGGGAGAAAGCAATTATAAATCTATTTTAACCTTCATTAGCTGGGAACTGAGCTACGGCCTGAGGTGGGAATGATTCCCTGTCGGTATCCCAGGAGGATTTCAGGGCTGGGGGCAAAAAGGGAATATCCAGGAGGTGGGAGCTGCCCTTTGCCAGGTGGTTTCTGCAGGGCTCACCCACAGGGAGATGCAGGGTGCATTTCCCTGGCCCAGGGACGTGTCCCACCCTGCAGGACCTTGTGCTCTCCTTGTCCTCCTGTCACAGCTCCGGGGGAAGGGAAAGCTAAGCCTCCAAATTAAACCCAAATAAGGTCAAAATTAAACGCAAATAAGGAGCTTTGCCCTGCCTGGGGAGGGCTGCAAAGCTGATTTAGGGAGAGGGCTGATCCCAGAGCTGACCCAGCCAAAGCTGGAAAACTCCTGGGGCTTGGGATCTGCCTCAGGAGCTCTTCCTGCTGTGCAAGCTCAGTGTGGAGCTGCATCCCAAAATTCCTGCTGCTGTTCCAAGGCTTGTCCTGGACCCTGAGCCAGCCTCAGGTGCTCGAGATGGAGCAGGGAGAGAGCCCAGCACTGCAAGTGGTGCCCAAAAATTGCCCCGAGTGGTTTTGTGGCTCCTCCTGGCT